AGGACCTGGGCGGCGCGCTGGCGCAGCAGGTGCGTCTGGCAGAGGAGGAAGCCGTGGTTTTCTTCTGAGATAATGCCTCCTTGGTCCATCAGGTCTAGGTCCGAGGAGGTCAATGTGCGGTCGATGTTTCTGTTTAGAATAAATTCCTCAGTTAGAGAGTGTGACTTGCTTGTCTGTGTGATTTGGAGAAAGGGGATGGGATTGAGGGAGGGTAATACTCGATCGCGAGGATGTAATAATGTACCTGATGAGACGAATTGTGTCGCCCGTTTGCTTGCCCTGGCGTATGCCTTTGCGACCGCCGAGCACGCTCCTCAGCCATTGAAACAAGAAATAGGAGATCAGGACTCCCGGAGCGATTCCGACAAAGCCAAACAGTAGTTCTTGGCTCTTGAGTAGAGAATCTATTCCACCGATGGCGACCTCGACGTCAACTTTCGTCTTCTGGACTTGGATGAGTAAGGTGCGGACCAGATCGCCCATGATGGCGTTCTTGATGGGACTCTGCATCTCGCGTTCGTACGCCCTCAAGACCGGGGTGAGGTCTCCTTCCTTCACCTTCCGCCTGATTTCTGTGATCTGTGCTTCCGTGAAGTTGGTGCCCGTCTTATCCGGATGTTGAATGGCAAAATCAACCACCATCCGCTCCAGACTTTCACGGTCGGCTCGAAGACTATCGCGGCTCTGGATCGCGATTTCGCTTTGTTCATCGTGGCGGATCGTGCCAATCAGTTTCTTCGTCGGCTCAATGACCCAGTTTGTCCAGAAGTCGACGGTCGTTTGGCCTAGATCTCGGAACCACTGGACAATTTCGGCTTTCCGATTGACAAGTATTCGGAGCAGGGTACTTCCTGAGAGGAGGAGGCCCACGGCGGGAATCCAGTAACGGACCAATCTCGACGGTTTCCCATACTGTAATCGCATGCTGTGCGCCTCTCTCTCTTGTTTTGGAAGGCGCTCATCGAGAATCTTGACCAAGAGATTGGCAACTTCTGTTGAGGAGGCTGTTTGCGGGTCGAAACTAAACTCTTCAACATCATCTTGAGCCCTTGTGGCAATATCTAGTAGATAGGCCGCTCGAGCTATCGTAGTCTGCCAGTCATCTTCATCCGCTTCCAGCACTTGGAGTAAGGCCCCTTGCTTGCGTTCTTCGGGGGCTCCACCAAAGACAAGACACTCCCTTACAAGTCTGCCAATTGCTCCGGCACTGGACTTTCTGAGATATTGAATGCGCTCTAGATTCCTCCGTACTTCCATGCGGGCTATCGAAAACGGTGACAGGATTTTTGTTTGAGCCTGGGCAAGAGAACGCTCTCGTATGCTGTTTTGAACCAGGCCATAAAACTCGCGCCAACCCTCCGTCACGGTCCTTGTGGCTTGTCTCGCGGAGGCCGTGAGATCATGGCCTCGCGCGAACTTCCGTCGCGCATCGGCGTAGACCTCTTTAGCCTGATGCCAGAATCTTATGGGCGAGGTCTGAATTGTATAGAGGACAATATTTGGGTAAGATCCCAGGATATCGTCCCAGTACCAGATGGACTCGCTTAACGGAATCGTTCGATCCAAGAGGGAATTGAGGATCAACCCATAGACTTGAGCAGTAGCCTTGCCCGTTGCAATCCATTCAAGATTTGAGATGTCTGGTGTAATCGTCTCAGCGACCACCTGTTCCCCCTCTTTTCTGGTAAGTTGACCAAGCAAGCTGCGCAACCTAGATCGACGTAGGAGCGGCCTCGAGCCCGAAGTCGTCGATAATGCTCTAACTACTGCTTTGAGCTCGGAAGTTCGAGCATCCTCGATGGGTGGAGCGGTGACTCTCTCTCCCTCGGTGGTCGCGGCGGACACCCTTTCTTCCGCCTCCTTCAGCTGGAATCTGTCCAAGGCAGCATCGATTCGTCGCAGGTCACTTGTGACAAGTCAGACAAGACAATCCAAGCATAGGGTCTAGGAGCGCTCACTCGTCGATGAACGTCATGTTTACAGACAGTTTTCGGCCTGATCTTCGTCTGAAATCACAATAGCATGGTCAGTCTGAAAAGATAGTAGACGTCGCTGCAATCATACTGAGCGCTCCATTGGGTGGAGGATAGTACTCAGCGGGATGATGTTGTGTCCCTCGGGGAAATGGCGATTGATTTCAGTGTCAAAACAAGGATGCCACACAGCGCTGCTGTCACGGAGCAGCTATCTTCACGCCAGAGCAGTCACTGAATGGGCTGGAACAAATGTCAAGCCTCGCTTGAAATGACGTCATGTCAAAAACATCCTGCCCCCTTCACGATGCGGGACAAGGCCGAACAAGGCTGAACAAGGCTGAGCTGGCAATCCTTGGTACATACGAGGTAGATGGTGGGGAGCCTTGCCATCCAGTCTCTCCATGTGTCTTTGGACGACGCGGAATTAAGACAAGCGTATCGCTGTTCAAGTCCTGCAACAAAATCTTTTTAGTCTTCGAGAACATAGTAGGATCTTTGCCACAGGTCAGGTCGCTGTGGCCGCTGTAGTGTGCTGTCAATGTGTTTCTGGATCCCGTCCGTCCTATGCATAGATTCTATGTCCAAATCTATCAAGGCTATGAATGTGCGTAATAGGAGTCTGGGTGTTAGTAGAGCGCTTGTGGAGGTATTATGGAGTATCCCTACAAAGGAAGAGGGTTTGGCATCTTACTGAGACTTGGGTGAGAACTGGGTTTAGGTAGAGGGATTTGGGGCCACCGAAAGGAAACTCCGGGGCTTAGTGGCCACCAGGCCTCAAGAGGCGTTGTACTTGGGCGGTCTTTCCCTTGAGCTGCTCCCCTAGGCACCAGGGAGGCGGCCTCGTTTCCCTCGCTTCCCTCGCTTCCAGCCATGTCGCCGGGATCCCGCGCATCTTCGGGCTGGGAGGCTTGGACCTTCTGACCATTCTGCGACCTAGCAAAATTGTCATCGCCTGCGTTCCCCCCAAAGGTCGCTCCCGACATCCAACGTCCAACATCCGCATCCGAGCGACATCATCTGTCGCATCTTTCTCTTTCCACACCCATTCCTCCTGACGCTTGACAGGCGATATCGACTTCTAGAGCCGCCTCATCCCCGATATTCTGGTTTCCTTCCTCGCAGCCATTCGTCAATTTCCCTTACCGCTCGGTCGATTTCTTCAAGCCGTTGTCGTGAGTTAGGCGCACTGATTTTTGGCGGGACACCTGGTCAACAGAACCGCCACCTGTAACGGCGACTCACTGGTCTCTCCCGGTCACGTACGAACCTCATACCAAATCAACTCCTCTACCCCTACATTCAGTCCTCACACCTCCGCAATGGCGGGTCAACGGAATTACGATTTTCTAGTACGTCCCATGAGCCTCGAGGACTGGGTCTTTGCCCAGCCCGTCACCGCTCTGCAGCTCGCTGCTAACCAATTCCGCCCTCCAGATAAAACTCCTCTTGATCGGCGACTCTGGCGTCGGCAAATCGTGCTGCCTGCTACGCTTCAGCGAAGACAGCTTCACTCCTAGCTTCATCACAACTATCGGCATCGATTTCAAGATCCGGACTATTGATTTAGACGGCAAGAGGGTGAAATTGCAAATATGGGATACAGCAGGTCAAGAGCGTTTCAGAACAATCACTACTGCATACTATCGAGGCGCAATGGGTATCCTGTTAGTGTACGATGTGACGGACGAAAAGAGCTTCAACAGTATGAACCACAACCGATCTACCATGAGCCGTATGGCGTGTCTAACTTCCCCTTGAAAACAGATATAAGGACTTGGTTCTCAAATGTCGAACAACACGCCAGCGAAGGTGTTAACAAGATCTTGATCGGCAACAAGTGTGATTGGGAAGAAAAACGTGCGGTCTCCACGGAACAAGGCCAAGCACTCGCCGACGAATTGGGCATCCCGTTCCTGGAAGTCAGCGCCAAATCGAACATCAACATCGAAAAGGCATTTTACTCGTTAGCCTCGGACATCAAGAAGCGGTTGATTGACAGTTCGAAAGAGTCGGGTGGCCCTGGAGCTGGCGCACAAGGTGTTGGTGGAGGCGTTAATGTCGCCCAGAACCAGAATGGCGGTATGGGTGGAAAATGTTGTTAGAGGAAATAGCGAGAGAAAGAGCACCGAGAGGTCGTTCGCTCGGACGGGACTACGACACCACGTGGGAGACGAGTCAGCAGGAAGGCGTTGCAGGACACGAATGCATGGCCGAAGCCATCTAGGCCTGCCTTCGACTTGACGGAAGCGATCTACTCACAACCATCTATTATTCGCCATGCGAGCGGTTCTGGGCCCCCAGCAACATCCCGCTGTCCAACCTATTGCACGTCGCCCTGCGTGGACGTATGAGAAGAGCCGTGATCGTCCAGAATATTCGGGGCAATGCTTCCATTCAGATTTTCGCACTTCATCGGTGGCCCTAATGTCCTTGTCGAGCGACGGGTGCCATGTGTTCCAGCTTGCCACGGGACAGGTTCAGTTGACTTGCGGCGTTTGGAAAGGACTATTGGGATTGAGGCTAAAAGGAGTTTCGTCTCGAGGGAAGGAATCAGGACGGAACGTTTATACAGTCCTTGGCTCGTTACAAACCACGTAGAGAGCTGTGCCATTCAAATCAGACTTTGTTTTTGGTCCGCAGAGCAACTGATGATGTACTACCGCATCCCACTCATCCGGTGCTTTGTCTAATAGATGACTGTGCTCGGTAACGCCGAAGAGAAGGGACGTTGCGAGAAGGAGGATAGGGCTGAAAACTAGCAGAAAAGAATATCAAGGAAGGATATTTCAATACTCCATGTTATGCTCTTGAAGTGCGTGTGCCCCCGGTTGAAGACTCATTCATAATTGACCGACCGATTCCAGGTCGGTCGGTCGGGCCATCCTTGTATTCGTGTCCGTCATCTTGCCGCGCGTCTCCAGGTAGGCCACCACCTGTCGGCATGTAGTGGGAGGAAGTGAGAGAGTGTGGTGGCACTGTACGGAGTGATTTTCTGGCTCGCCTCAATATTTCTTTTCTTAGCCTTCAATATCCCACGCTGACTAGATAGGCAGCGAGTTTCTCGACCGTGTTGGCCGCAGTACCGGGCTGTATCGTCTCCGGGTAGTGTGTGATAAGCAGTGCTTGCTTTGTCTTGACAATGACGACGCCTTCTCGACCCTGTGCACCGCCGATTCAATAACTATTAGCCCACGCTCAACGCTCCCGTATACCCCTTTCCCGCATCCTTTTGCTTAACCCCCGTCGCTCAATTAACGTCGCATTGACCATAGTGAAAAGGAAATCCAGAACCCACCTTCTTTCCATACAAACTTGACTCGTCTGCCTTAATGACAATGTACTTTTGACCTGCGATGTGTAGTCCCGTGGACTGGACCTTCTTGGGCACTGAGGTATCCTTGTACGCGCCGACAACCTCTTGCATTTCTGGCGGGCTCACGGTGAAATTTGGCGAAGAAGCCCATACGGAGTTGCCCTCGGCGTTGAAGATTGCGGCTTTGTCAACGTGGCCGGTGCCAACGAGGCTGTGAGTCAGATAAACATGTGTTAGTTGGGTACAGGCGGGATTGACTCGAGATGGGGGGAATGTGTGCTTCCGGGTTGAGTCTACCTTGAATCAACGTAGGCTGTGACATTGATTTATTCGGGTTAGCAAATACTCCAATGTGCTAGAACGCTGCATGGCCCTTCATTTCAGCTCTCTCACCTTGCCAAGACATGGCCGTGAATGGTGCTGTGATAGACGGGGTTTGGTAGGAGAAATGGAAGAGAAGTCGGCAGAGAAGTCAATGAAAGGATGGGCAATGGTAGGCTGGAGCAGGGGCCCGTTCCGAGGTGTGCGTTGCAGGAGCAGATAAAATATAGGACGAGGACCTAGGATGAGATAAACTGGCCTGCAGTGATGAGGACCGAGCAAGTTGGGGTGCAGTGAAGAGGTAAGGAGAGGGAATGCGTGAGGCAGTCAACAGTGAGTCTGATGGTGCAGGCGGTTTGGTGGGGTTGAATCTCGCAATTTCAAATGACAGTGATTGGGATACACTCGCTGCCTGACGCTTGTCATCTGCCCCTCCTTGCCAACCCAACCATCGTCCACGCTTCAGCCTGCGCTGTCATTTCACCCTCTGCACCCATCCAGCTGCCTCCATGTTTTAACGCCCAACTCCTTTGCTGTACCCTCGGCAACCATCTCTCAAGACCCGTTCGCACACTTCGTTTCGAGAGGGCCGTAGAAGCCTTACGCTGAGACGAGCCCCGACGCTTGGACAGCCTCAGCTGAATCCGAGACCCGCCTCCCATGGAGTCATGTTCTCGAGGTTTTGGTGCCACCAGTGGAGTCCATGTCGTCAAAAACAAAGTGCGGTGAAGGCAAGTCTGAGTACTAACGGCATCAACACATCAACCTGCGGCATTTTGTCCCGACCTCACCTGCTGCCGTGTTGTCTCAGCCAACGTCTCATTATGCCAAACGAGAGAAGATCGGCAACCAAAACGGCAACATCTTGCAGCGCATACTCAGCAAGCCAGAGACCTGGTTGATCAAGGCCAAGAGATCGATGGAGTTGACAAAGAAGACGCTCCCACCGGGCTGACACAGAGGCAACGCAGGTACTTCAAGCTTGACATTGACGGTTGCCAGTGGCTCATACTGAGAGAGCTCATAATCGGTTCCGGTCGACGTTGAGCTACCATGGATCATCTGGACGCCTCCGCAAACGGCTTTGGCTGCGAGGCCTTTCTTCTGCTTGTTACAAATATGGTATTGGAAGTTTCGCTTTTAACCTGGAGTCTGCCATCTGCCTCCAAGAGATGATCTATACGCAGCGCCACGTTGACTCGACGAATCATTCAAAGTCAAAATGCCAATGGTGTCCGCGGGCTAGACATATCGAACGAACAATACCCGATAATAGATTCTACAATTTCCATTCTCGGATGATCATTAAAGCCAGACCGAGCCAAGAATTATACCCCGTACAAGGAATAATAGCGTACAAATACTCCCTGATGACAGATTCGATCCCAGGACGCAAAGCAGGATGTACTTCTCAAGCTGGCCAGGTTTGGTATATTGATGGTCAATCAATCTATATCCCATAATTCCGCATACAATCTTTTTGGAGATGCTATCTTGTCGACTTTTTGCAACATTTCCAGAGATTGATACCTAGCAACGCCGGCCCGTCTCTCGCTCACCGGGCTGTTCCCTCCTGGCCAAGTCAACCTAGAGCGCAAGTGTAGCGGTTCGAGATATTGTCGCCGACCATGTCGTTCACGTTAACCGTGAGGGTACGCAATGTAGGACGACCTTTATCTTCCGATCAACGATGGATATGATGGAGGAACCACTTGCACGACTACTTCCAGCACTGTCTATATTTGAGCAGCCATCTAAAATACAAACACGGTTCATGTTTGCCTTCTCTCTATGTGGTATGCGTGGAGTGCCTGACCCGACTCTAGACCACCTCAACCCGATCGTCGGGCGATTTGCTTTCGCCACTCTCAACCTCGACAGAGATCACTCCTTGAACACCTTTAGCAACCTCACGGTCCAAGGCCATCTTCTCCTCTGTGCTGAGCTGATTAATATCTAAAGCGACCTCATCACCAAAGAGTCTTGATATCTCCTCAAGAGTCAGGAGCTTCGTCTCCGGGAAGAACTTCCACATCAGTGCTGCGCCGAGCAGAGGCAGTATGATGAACATGATGTAGAACTTCCACCCGACCTGCGCAAACGCGACTGGCGCGGTTTGTGTGTAAATTAAGGTCGCAGTAAATAGACCGGCGACACTGAACCCCGTACCCTGCGCACGGAGCGGAGTCGGAAAGATCTCACTGCAATACACGTAGGAGGTGGCGTCCATGGTCCCACCATAGAAGAACACGAAAAGGAACAAGAAGAACACTCCAAAGCCGTTCCCGACCCGGTTCGATGTGCCCCCGAACGTCGCGACCATGGCCGTGAAACAGATCAACGAACAGGCGCAGCCGATCAGTCCGATAAGCATGATCCGGATCCGGCCAAGTCGATCCAGGAACAACGAGTTGACAAAGTTCATGAGTGCGGCGAGACCATTGTACAGGGCGTTTAATAGCAGAGGCAGCGAGCCGGTGATACCCAGAGACTTGTACAGCAAGATCTGATAGCTGTACGAGGGTATCAGCACATGTTTTCAAAGCAGGAATCTATACACAGCAGATTTCGGCTGTGGCGGGTATTTTCGCAGAGGATATGCAACCTACTTGTTGACGACCAAGACACCGGTGCTCTGAGCAATGAACTGTGTGCCAAATCCCAAGATCAATCTCTTCCGCAGGCTGGGCTTCTTGAACAGAGCGCCCCAGCTCTTGCTCAACTTGTCCGCGCGCTCGAGCTCGATTTGTCTGCGGATCTGGAGGAATTCTTCTCGCGCAATGATCTCGTCCGGGTCTTCGGGCCGCGTGTGCAAGCTGCGGAGGACCTGGAAGCCGTCTTCCAGCCTATCATGGTCGATGAGCCATCTCGGGGATTCCGGAAGCCAGGGAGATCCCAGGAACAGCAGCAGCGGGGCCACGATCTGCAGACTCAGACACAGTCTCCAGCTGACGGTGGGAGTGGCGAAGTACGTGCCAAACCCGGCGAAACCGGCGCAGCTGTATCCGATCACGATCAGCACGCCGTGGGCACCAACCATGCGTCCGCGCTGGCGAGCCGGAGAGATCTCGGACTGGAAGACGGGGATGGACGTGTCCAGCATGCCGACCGCCCACCCGTTGAGGAAGCGGGCGATCAGGAACATGGCGATGTGGACGCTGCCTCCTTGCAGTGCTGCTGAGATGATTGCGAGAGCCGCTGCAACCTGGATGGTTCGGCGACGACCGAGGCGGTCTAGGAGCCATGGCACGAAGATACAACCCAGGATGCCTCCCCCCGAGTAGAGTCCATTGGTAGCACCCGTGATCTGGTTGCCCTGGGTGTCGTCGAGGTTGATGTTGAAATATTGGAAGAACGCTGGCAGGCCAATGACAAGGCCCATGATGGCACTGTTGAAGCCATAGGTGAAGCTGCCCAGAGCAACAAAGAAAACGATGAGAAAATTGTATTTTGTTCCCTTGGCCATTTTTGTCGCGTCCGATCTAAAGGCCCTGTGAGCTAAGGAATAACAGTCTAAGGAAACTCGAGAGGGAAATGCCCTATCCCAGAGAAAGAGATACGAGATTCAAGCTTCTCGAAGGGACATCCCGCCGTCCGACACGAGAGTCTTAATCATATTCTCGCAAGTTCGAGACTTGCAATATCCGGCGGATCTGCATTTTCGAGATTGTGGACCAGTCACCAGCGGGGAGCTCAGGAGCCCCAGACTTCCCCAAATTCCCCAATTATGAGAGGTTTGTAGAGAGTGTAAACAATGTGATCGAAGAGAACGGCAGTCCTGAGTAGCACGGACTTTCGCCGTAACGGATTGCACGTGGCTTGGTGGATATCACTGGCGACACCGCGGGAATAGAATCGCGATGTTTGTCCTCGGGCCTCCAACTTCTCGCTAGCCTTGTCGTGGCAATGAAGCCAATCAGCGCTCTCCAAACCAATCTTTCTCCGCATGTGAATCAGCCTCGGGCAACAATTCAAGCACCAGCACCAGATACCAAGGGTACGTACCACATACCCCTCAAACCGGCAAAGCCTTTGCAGCAAAAAAACCCAAAATCGACATCATAAAGGTTCTCGGCATAAGGACTCCGTGACTTATCATGATCGTCCCCAACAATTTGGAGATATCGGGTTTGGAGACGCATTTGTTGCAGAATTCTCGACAAACGACTTTCGGCCCCCCCTGTGTTTGAGGACTGAAACTGGACTCACGAACGAAGCCATTATTCAAAGATGTCGCAAAAGTTGAAGGGCAAAGTGTGCATTGTTACAGGCGGCGGCCATGGCTTTGGAGAGGCCATGGCCAGGCGCTTCGCCGAGGAGGGCGCTCGAGTGGTCATCGCGGACATCAATCCCACGACCGGATCCAAAGTTGCACTCGAGATAAACGGCTTGCATGGAGAGAAAACAGCGCTATTTCAGGAGGCAAATGTCACCAGTCAAGCCTCGTGGGCAAAGTTGCTGGAGGCTTCGCTGAAGGAGTTTGGTAAGGTCGATGTCGTGGTGAATAATGCCGGGACAACGTATCCCAAAAAGGCCTCGCATACGGTTACCGAAGAGGAGTACGATAAAGTCATCGGTGTCAACATGAAGTCCATATTTCTCAGTGTGGCCGTGGTTGTGCCATATTTTCTGGAACAGAAGGCTGGCACCATCCTGAATATTAGCTCGGTCGGAGGAATCCGAGTCAAGAACGGGCTGGTTAGTACCTGTTACCTAGTCACGCTACCTCATCTCCGAATCCTGACGAAGACATGTAGGTATGGTACGGTGGAACCAAAGCATTTGTCAACAAGGTATAGCCCGAACCACTGTTGAGATAACGTCCATTGTCGCTGACACGGCCCCAGATCACAGAGGGACTTGCCTCGGAGTACGGCCATTCTGGAATCCGGGTGAACGCTATCTGTCCAATCCTGGGATATACCGACCTGTCAGCTAAGCCCTTACGAGCATCCCTGGTTGATGCGACTGACTGATCCATTACATAGAGCACAATCCTTTATGGGGGTCGACGATACACCAGAGAATCGGGCGAAATTCGAGGCTTCGTTCCCTCGAGGTGAAGCTTTGAAGCTGAACACCTCGACCGGATACGTCGCCAATGCCGCGGTATATCTTTGTTCCGATGACGCAGCGTTTGTGAGCGGCATATGTCTGCCTGTTGATGGAGCGGCAACCGTATTTGCTGCTGGAGGTATGTGCAACATAAGTTTTTGATGACTCAGCCCAATTAACATCGATGCACAGTTGGCAAATAGTCTGAGCGTCGTCGTTGGCCCTTGGACCTGGAGTAGTCGTATGTCAGGAAGAGCATCCCATGTCCCGATCGTGGCAGCCTGCTTGAACGCAGCGGGAACTACTCCTCACGGGTAGCCTTTATGAACTTCCTCAGCCTCACGGCCGGGGCCTGAAACTTGTCCATCGGTGTGATTGAAAGCCAAAGGATCGATTGTTCGAAGCGATGCAGGGGTGCGGTCATATAAAGCATCCGAGGCCCAGTACTTTAGCTTGCATATGACAAATTAGCTTCATGACCTCCAAGGCTTTCCGTGGTCTTCATGGCTTTACCTTAACGTATATTAGATCTGGGCATCTGTATGTCTTGCAGGAAGTTTTAACAAGAGGTTGTGACTATTGCGAAATACTCGCCGACGCTTTAATGTCCAGATCGTTGTATAACATCCACAATACTCTGCAGGTTGGTGGCCTCAAGACCGATCAGTAGGCAGCTCGACAAAAAATGGGAAGTCCTGAGCGGCGGTGGCCCTGTTGTGTGAGTCTGAAGCCCATGAAGCGCCGAGATTAAGAGCAGTCTCGGCTACTCAGGCTGAGTAGCTAGCGAAGACTCTACAAGGATGTGTGCCGAAGCGGCGTTGCTGGTAAAAAAGGAGATGGTATAGTTGAACCATTGTTGCAAAAACTGGCTGGTTGGCAGCGTTCTGTATTAGTGCAGGCAAATATAGGGAGGCGTTTGGAACGGTTCCGATATGTTCCCCCTCGTCCACGAGTATGAAAGATGCTACACCAGGGCCAGAAATTCTCCTCCTCAGATGGTCGTCAGTGTAAAGATTGTATATATATATTACCCCGAAAGATTCTTCTGCAATCGACCACGGGATATGGAAAGCAGGGCTTCCCGTCTGCTCAGCCGTACTTAAGCCATATGCCGGTCAGTTAGTACTAACGTGGGTGACCAGTTGGGAACCCTGACTGTTGATTGTTTTTGCCTACCTTTTTTTTTAATGCTCATATCTTTTGAAAAGCTGTCATTATCCATGGGGGCAATTATTTTATTTTAGAAGGGACGGACTTTCAAGAGGGCCATGAAGGACAACGAAGTCTAAAGGTATAAGGAGCCAAGGCGTCAAGGGCTTAATCTAACCCGAGACGGCCAGGTAGGAACTGGCGCTAGCTGGCTAAAGGAACTGCGCTAATGCATCCAGCTGACATTGTAGGGATGATCTCTTTGAACTCCATATATGTAAGCAGAGCAACCCCTGCAATTGTTGAGACGTTGCTAGTTTGAGGTGGGGTATCATGCGGCGGAATGGAGTGACTGATATTTGACATGTTTATCTCCGCTAGGTGCTTCACGTTTTGCGCACGGAGCCTCCAGCTTCTGCGGCTCAGACTCACATTGGTTCATGCAACATCGGTGATATAGACGACTCCTGATTATCTCGACTGAGAACATGAAAAGGATTAATACAGTGGTCATGGAGGCACGTCCCTTCCCATGGGACTGCCATCATTCACAAACAGCCTGCTCAGGAATCTCTACTACCACAATCCAATTGTATTCCGCCTGTCCACACTATGGGCAAAGTGTGGCTTATTACAGGTGCCTCTCGAGGTCTCGGGAAGGCTCTCGTCGAGTATGCCTTGTCTAAGGGTGACTTGGTTGTTGCGACTGCACGGAACAAGAACTCGTTGGCTTACGCCCGCAAAGCCGGCGGAGACAACGTCCTTGCTGAAAGCCTCGACGTCACGAACTACGACCAAACCATGGATGTAGCCAAAGCTGCACATCAGAGATTCGGGCGCATCGATATCCTTGTCAACAACGCAGGCTATGCCGATACCGTTTCGGTTGAAGATACCTCGATCGAGGATTTCCGCAAACAAGTCGACACCAACCTCATGGGCGTGGTTAATATGACGAAAGCCGTCCTCCCTATTATGCGTGAACATGGATCCGGCTACATTGTCCAGATCTCCTCTATTGGGGCCCGCCTTGGCAGCCCGGGTCTGTCGGCGTACCAATGCGCCAAATGGGCGGTGTCCGGCTTCTCGATGTGCCTCCAGGCAGAGGTCAAACCATTAGGCATCAGAGTAACGTCCCTGGAGCCCGGTGGGATCCGGACTGACTGGGCCGGTTCCTCCATGAACATCCCCACACCCAGCGAGCCGTACCAGCAGACCGTGGGAGTCTTTGCCAAATACTTGAGGGACCACTTCGGAAAGGCAAAGTCGCTGCCCGAGAAGTTTGGTCCCATCATCGACAAACTCTACGAACTACCAGAGCCGCCTGTTCGCATGCCCGTCGGCCCCGACGCCGTTGGATTCGCTCCCCAGCTTCTAGAAGCTCAAATAAAATCTGACGAACAGTGGGCGGAGCTCGGCAAGTCTTCGGCCGCCTAAGTATCGGCTCCGAGAAGCTTGACGCGGCCTTAACCGGCATTTGCAAGCTATCACATAGATCATGAAGCACCTGGCGGTTTGTTGATCGTCGGGTTGATGGACACCATTTGACCCTACTTCAATAAAAGACCAATTCGTCTTAATTCACCAAACATTCTCAAACAACATGTCCTCCTTTTCCTAGAATATGAAAATGGCAGTCAAATGGAGCCGGGTGTCACTAGAATCTTTGCTCCATCTCACATGCTGATCACCATCAGCTCCATCCCATGGTTCCTATAGTCCTGGATGTGAGACCAGAGTGGAGCATCAGCCGGGTTACGCCCCCGAGGTAGAACCAGTTATGCTCAATAGATGGAATGCGAGAGAGGGTACACGCAAGATAGATACTGGCTCCGTACTCTGCTAATAGATCTCTTCACACTTCGGACGCACCGGGGCACGTATCGTAGGCAACACGTGAGCTTTCTTACGGTCAACTGACTAAATCGAACCTGAGCGAGCAACCAGAACACTTGAGCGATGCCCCAACCCAGTACCCCTGGCTGGAATCAATGTGCATGATCCAGGCATGGGACCGATAGACGTCGGTCTTCTTTTTCCCTTGGCGGAAGCGAGGTCGGCCTTTAACTATTACTGGATCCTCGCACTGTTGGCCACAAAAAAAGGTAATTCTTCCGCCACTCTTCCGCCCATGTTGAAGGCGCTGAGATGGTTGAGTCAATAAATGCCAATTAGATAGCTTCCGTATTCTGCAACGGAAGACAATATGACTGATTCAGACTCGGGCCTCGGGCTCAACGATCCCCCATGGCTATTGCTATGTGTGGCACGTATGGGTCACGCTTTGCGCTGTACAGGACGTGCCACCGCAAGCAATTTTATGCTGTGCTGGTAGCGGGCAAGACTCATCCCAAAGCTGAATTGTCCTTAGCACGTCACTCGTAGCACTTCAATTTCTCAATCCACTTGGGCTGTGCGTCTCTATACAAGATTATAGCCAGCGCCTCAATATTTCACATTTTAAGAAGCTCAGAACCAAGAGAACAAGTCAAATGTAGTTCGCAAAGTGCCTTCAATCTCGGTTTCACAAATACAGAGGCTCTTTTTTCTTCCTCAGGCTCACTAGGCCCACTGCTTGTACGGTCTTATACCTAACTGTAATCAAGAGGTAGTGTAAACCCACTTACTGCCCGACACCTTGCCTGCTCTCATGCACTCGATACCTCTGAGTATACCTTCCAACCCTGGTCCTGTTGGATTGACATTTGGAAGATGCACCTTCAGTTCTCCTCGCGCCAGGAGAGCTCTCATGACCTCCCAGAACATCTTGCCGAACTCAAGGTCCTCCGGCTTGGCCGGAATACAATGGGGCCCATTGCTGAATTGCTCACCAACGATAGTATATGCGATCGTCATCTTGTTTGACACCTTATCATTAATGCTCTTGATGATTTCGTCCACAATTGGCTGCAACGTCGCGAGGTGTCCCCGGACTCGCTCATGGCGCTCACACAGATTCTCGCGCTGGGCTCCTGTGAGATGCAGTCCAGGGCATGTTGGAGGGTATTGTGTGCTGCATTCTTGATGTCCTCCACAACGCTAGCCGAGTTATAGTCCAGCGCCCCGTCGGCGCCTACGCGCCTGACGTAGTCAAAGTTATGTGGTGAACACGTTGTAATGACGAATGCCCCTGACAGCTTCGCGAACTGGATGGCAATAGAACCTGTTGCAGTGCTGCCCCCGTATATCAGGACGAGAAAGTTTACCTTTTCCCTGGAGTCGGGGAGTGGGAGTCGTAGATTTTGGTACAACGCCTGGCCGGTACTGGTGATGCCAATTCCCAGGGTTGCGGCTTCGTCGAACCTCAAATGGTCGGGTGTCTTGATCTGGATGTCGCCTTTGAGTGTAATGTGTTCGCCAAAGGTCCCGTCTTCATGACAGACAGCATTGGCACCATGACAGGGACCAGCCACGCGATCACCCTTCTTGAAATCTTCCGTGACTCCTCTGCCCACCTCTTCAACTACCCCAGCATAGTCGCACCCCAGACGGGCGCCGGAGGTAGTCATGGAATGATATGCTTCCAATCGGTAGGGTCAAGAGCAACCGCTCTTGTCTTCACCAGTATGTAATCATCGCGTAGCTTTGGGATAGGGACTTGGGCAATCTGTGCTTCGCCCTGCGACTTGATGATGATATGATGGTTGGCCATGGTGTTCAGGCATACATCTTGGACCTTGGTCTGCTGGTGTCAATCAATCTGCACTACGATAACGTCAAGTAATGGTCTACCTCTTGCGTTCGTCGGGTTCCAGAAAGACGCATTTTTGGTTCTGACTTCGACGAAACTTACAGGATGTTTGGCCAGGGTCCGTGATGCACTGTGTCATGGCGTTAATGAGCTGAAACATCTCCAGCGTTCAGGGAATGATACACCCACCTTTGTGCGGCGGCTGCGGCAAGTAGGGCAAGCAGCAGAGGCCCATGATTGAGACCCAGTGCCAAGGTTAGCCATCTCCAATACGTTTCGCCACCGACCGGCGGAAGGCAGATAGCAATGGCTCTCTTGTTGTACGAGGAGCAATCAGTAGCTGGTGCATGCAGTCTAATGTATGTGCGAGGAAGGTGAGAGTCGGTTGAAGACAAAATGACGAAGCAAATGAATTGTCCCAGATGCCGGGGTAGTGGGGGACTTGGAGCTGGGGTAGCTGCCAGGGTTCATGGTTGGATTGCCCGCTAATCCAACCTGATGCGAAGGTCAGCAGGGCCTACTGAGCCTGAAGAAGTAACATAGCCCGCCGTACGCGTTCGCGTCTTTGGCATGCCGCATTTCGTATCGGTCGGCATGTTATGCTCAGGACGCAATGTTGGATACGGTCCACAGCACCAAGTTTCAGGAGAAGATCTCCAAATTCCCTCCATACCCCAAGGGATGAAAAAGGAGACTGCTAAGGTCAGTCGGCGGCTTCATTTGTACATTTATGGAACCCATCCGATGCGCAATACCCCCTCAAGGATTATAGAAAGTCGCAAAGATTGAGGCGTTTGCGCAGAGTGGCCCTCGATGGGAGAGTGCAGGACATTGTACTTTTGGGTATGCCCGCGACAACTAGGTTACCCTCACGATCAGAGCGGCTGTCTTTTGCCGGTACCGCCGGAATTTTGAACGCCAAAAAGAGCCTGTGGGTCGCCATATGTGTAGTTGACAGCTAGATCCAGAGTGCTAAGCACAAGGGCATGATATGGCAAGATTGAAGGCTCGTTTACCTGTGAGAGCAGTTTCCTCGCATCGAGAAGTCGCCTCTTCCGAGGTGTCAAGAAAGGCTGACTGTCAAGGTATGGATAAAGCGGGTGATTCTGACTGACATCGTGTAGCCTCGTCACGCATATGAGGAATACGGTATGCACTATTTCACATTTAATCTAGTGCGCCAAGGATAGTCCGGCTCTGGTCTTCGGAATAATATTTTTCCATCCCGCCTATCCGTGCTTGTCCTTCTTCTTGCATCGCTGGCTACATGACCATCGTAATATCACTCTGCTTCCGTAAATATTACCTGAGACCATGTGAGACGCTCTGCATGCCGCTTCTCTTCAGTTGCACGATCTTCTGTCGACTCGTTAACCTCGTCGACAATTCTGTCAAAGGCTGAGATCGAGTTATTTGATCTTCGGGCTGATATTCGCTCCGTGCACATTGAGGCGCGGGTCCCTTTCATCAGCCAAACTAACCTGAAAAAGTCACAGCTTGCGATCTCATCTCCTTGTGGTGGAGCAGCGAACAATCAGGAGCCAAATCCCAGCAGCTCTTCGTATTCTGGAACGCTCATCCAACCTCACTGACCTTTTGTCGGAAATTTCCATCCATTCCATCCACATCTGGTGTCCCACGCCAAGAAAGTCAGGCCGCCTCTTTTCTCACAGCACAAGCTCCAAGGTTCAAAAGCCGATGAAGATAGGGTTGCCCTACTGAGCCGGCAGCATCTGCTATTGGCTTAGAGGCCTTTCCCCCCCTGAGCTCGGCAACGACATCATTGTGGCTGGCGCCGCATTGGACATTGGCTCGCTAGTCCCCAGAAAATTGTTGCCTAATGCCGCCCATGTGTATATATTGGAGAAATAACAGGACAGGCTTGCGATAGGGCCTAGCAGGAGTATCCGCCTCCGCTAAATGTTGATCTACTGCACTACATCAAGTCATTGACAATGGTCTATCACGGCCCGAGCGCAGGGTGCAAGGCTTGTCGAACCCGGCGAGTAAAGGTAAGTCTGTGGCAAGCCCATGCCTTAATTCTTACATCGGTCGATCCTCAATACTCATAGTGCAGTGTGATCAAGGCAAACCATCGTGCAATAATTGCACTAGACGACGCCAGATTTGTCCCGGTTACGCAGATGTCTTTGATGGGGCACACAGAAGTCAAAACAAAGTTGTGATTCGGAGGGTGGAAAAACAGAACGCTGCGAGGGAGACGGATTCCTGCTCTAGCACTCCCAGCAGTGAAGGATCGCTGGACATCACGCCTACACCCTCCAGCACGACCACTAGATCATCGATAGGGAAACCCAATACCCCGCTTCAATGGGTCATATATTCGGCGGCAACAGAAGAGAACCCTGAGGACAGTGGCGATTCACAGCACCTCGAGAAGGCGCGCCCCTCTGAAGTTTGCGAACTTCAACCGAGCGAGCTTCGGATCGCAATTGCTAACTCGATCAAGCAAGACCCTCAGAATGCTTCGATAAATTTCTTTTTTCGCTATTACACCGGCACCATTTACGATCCTCAACTTCATAATTCTTTTGCACTTCTTTGGCAACCATTGTACCTCAAATCCTCCGAGAATTCGCCATTGAGACTTGCAACAGCCGCGGTGACTGTCAATATTGCCATGATGTGGAACTTTAGAGGTTGCGATGCACGACCAGCTCGACAGCTTTTCACGAAAGCCCTCGAAGCAACGAGGAAGGCAATCGGCAATCCGGCGCAGAGCAACAAGGACGAACTCTTAATGACGATATTGATCTTTGACCTCTACGACGCATTGGTCCTGCACTACGTACCTGGGCCTTCAACCTATGGCAAACATAAAAATGGAGCTGTGGCCTTACTCAAGCACAGGGGCCAGGACAACTATAATACCAAAGTCGGTCAGGGTCTCACCACTGCAACCAGACACACTCTTATTCAATACGCGTTATGCTGCCGCACTTCTATGCCTTCGGAGTCGGCAGAAATTTTCTCGCACCCTTCAATCGGGGACCGCATGGCCGCGCAGCTTGACATATTAGGGACCCAGATCGCTAATATACAAGCCCGTCTCTGGGCTCTGAGACGGCAGAATGATTCGTCGAGGCTCCCCGGACAACGCCGCAAAGCCTTCGAAGAGATAATTGCCGATGCGATTCGAACCGATGACCTGCTCATGACTTGGAAACGAAACATTCCAAATCCAGACTGGTTGCCGCAACACGTCTCTCGTGACGATGTCGCGCCTTCAATCCTCGCTGCGGGTTTCTACGGTACCAGATGCGCGGTCTGGGCGGACCTGACATTTGCAGAAGTGTTCAATCTGCATGTATCTCGCCGTGTCTATACACTGCAAATAATCCGGCAATCTCTGGCCGATGAGCCCACCCTACTCATCGATTCAAGATACCGTGCGATCCTGGCGAAGGCAAACTCTGCCATTCAGACCCTCGTTGACGCTATATTAGAAACCATACCCATCCATCTCGGGGACACAGTCGTGCCGACGAATCCGATATACTGCTCTGGGGTCGCATTCCCTTATAAAATCATTCGAGACCCACTAACTGGCGAAGTGAGAAGCATTCCAGACCTGGAAGGGAGTGACTTCCGAATGAGGGCAGCAGCGTCCGGTGGATGGATGATATTTCCTCACTTGCTCGAGATATATCGCTTTGCGGAACCGGAGGATGATGCCATTCCAATTATACTGAGACAAGGCCAGTTAGAGTGGATCAAAGCACAGATCAAACGGCTGCAAACGACCTTCCTGTTTTGTGATCCCGTCTGGTGAGTTCGGTCCTCTTGCATCCCGTTTTCACGAAGGGGCAGACGCCATCACCCCCGTATCCCCTTGCAAGACTATTTGTAGTTCTGACACATGCTTCTCTGCGGTGCAGGTTCAAGCGGGATCCACCACAGCGGACGACCACAATACCAAACTCTAGTCCCGAGACGACTTCGACAAGGATCAACAACTTATGAACGATGCCCTCAGCTGGCCTATCAGCAGCAAACGATCGAGAGGGATACGGGTGTCAGCAACGCCCCTTTCCCTCTTTCTTCTTTCTCATCGTCTGGCAACTCAGGGAACCTAAAACCGAAACGAACCCGCAACTTCCTATATTGTATCACGGGTCATAGAGACTGTCGATTAAGCAAGGAATCAACGAGCGTCATGAACAATATCATTTATTGCATCCAAACTACGGCTGGGGGAAGCCGCTTGGACGGGCTTTCGAAGGAACGAAAATGATGTATCTATGTACATCAGTACCCAATCAAGAGGAAGACAGCGGCTTAAGGGACTGGACAGCTCGATGGAGAATGAATGAAGAATTAAGAGGGAGGGAAGGAAGGAGCCTGACCAACTCATAGTTGTGATGTGTGGCTGATCTTTCTCATTTGTCAGTGACATGTATGAACATCGTAGCCACCTACGGAGTCCTCAACTGCAAAGTACGTATCACACAGCTTTTTTATTCTTGTTTCTTTATCTCGCACTCCTCAAAAACTCGACTACGCCCCTGGTATATCCGACCAACTCACTTAACCTCGTCTCCTCCTCGACCATGGCCTTTCTCCACTCGACCACCTTGTCCCTCACGTCGTCGACCTCGCCGACAAAGTCGCCGTGGACCTTCAGAAACACGCTCATCCAGGTATTCACCAGCTCGAAGGATTTCCTTTGGCGGAGTTGGCGGATGAGGAAGTCGATGAAGGTCGGCATTTCTGGGAGGGTGAGGGAACGGATTTCCAAGTCGGCGGCCGAAGGGGGTAGGGAGGAGAGGTGCATTGTCAAGGAAGAAGGGTCATGAGAAGGGGAAGAGGAGAAGGTCTCAAGGAGAGAAGAGAGCTGTGAAAACCCGTGGAAGATCGCCTGCTGGGTCGAAGCCAGGCGGGAGATGCGTGAGCGCTCGGAATCTCCTATAACTTTGTCCAGGACGAGAGATGTATCGTTGTCTGTCTTAAGACCGTTGGTGAGACTTGCCGACCCGAGGAAAAAAGGTGCCGCTTTGGGCTTCTCTGGCGGTTGGATGGGTTTGTTTCTGGCGCGGATGCTGTCAAGGTTCAGCAACGTTTGCCACCGCGATTGAGGTTGGAGCGACAATGTTAGCAGCCGTTTGTCCAGTTGCTCCAATGCTGAAGAATCATCAAACCCATCGATAACAGCTTCCTCCCCCGGCGCTGCATTTTCGATGGCAAGTTGAGTTGCAGCATTGAACGCGGCTGTGGTCTGGCTTAGATCAATAATTCCGCGGACATCGTCAATCTTCCCAGTGGATACATGACTGAACAGGGCTTTATTCGTCCAGACGAATATTCCTGGACTTCCAGCATGCGTAGTGGCCAGAAACTCTCCTGTGCTGGAGAACGCCATATTGGTACATGTTGCTGCTGTCTTGAATGCGTCGATCAAATGTCCAGTAGCAAGGTCAAAGACGCGAATGACCGAGTCCATAGAGCAAGCCACAATCCACCGTCCGTCGTTTGAGAAGCAGTAGTCATATATTTGACCAATGCAGCCCCATAACTCGCGTACAACTCTGCGCGTCTCGATGTCGACGATGCGTATGCACAGGTCATCGCAGGATAAAGCCAGAAGGCCTGAGACAGGGTTGTATCGGATAGCAGTTGGTACCGCAGAATCGAGGGATTTTCGTTCGAGTACTCTGCCGGACGAAAAGTCCCAAAAGATGACTGACCCGTCCAAGCTACTGGTAACCATGGTTTGATTAAGATTGTCAACCACAATACCCGTGATGGGGCCCCGATGACCACGAGGAACGGTGATAACCTGGCCTGGTTCGGCGTTTTGTAGTTTCAATTGTTTCGCCTGTGCAGGGGTGAGTCGAGGCGGGTACCGTTGGCGATGGGCGCCAGATTGCAGGTTGTACATATCGAGGCTGCCTCCCGCTGACCCAATAATTGCGAATGTCCCGCAAGCAGTGATAGCAACGCTGGTCACGGCCTTGTGGTCGCCAGTTTCAAGGGCCCATCTACCTGCTTTCTTTCTGCCCCATGACCACGTTCTTGCAAATTTGTCACCAGCATGGGCCGTGACAACACTCTCCCAACCGGTCGTGCTAATTTCTTCTGCATTGAATGTTTTCGTGTTTGACCAAATTGGGCCACTGACCGAGCCCATTCCACCGTCTCGGTTCAGTGAGCAGGCCATGTCAATAATTGGGGGTGCTTTGAAATCCTCAACCGTTGAGGCGTCGTCGGTGAGGAGACCTGATTTTCGAGCCTTGTGCCTCACAGCGCCTTGACTGAGCTCTGTACTTTGGCCATCTTTACGCAGACTGAAACCCCACAGGCTGCGATCTTGAGCCGCGGACATGAGCCATTTCCCAGTGGCGTCTGATCCATCTGAAGCTGCCGGGAGAAACATGAGTCTAGTGATGGATGCAGCATGCCCACTCCTAGAGTGGAGGAGCCGTGGAATGGGCGAGAAAGGATTCTGGTCAAAGACCCATGATTTTAGAGCGTTGTCCAGCCCAGAAGAGACCAAGACTGGTTGGCCCGGTAGGAATTCGACTTTGTTCACACCGGTGCCTTGGCCCGAACTAGAAGTTTCGTGAGCGCCTCGGATCATGCCGACGACCTTTCCGCCGCGATTGAGATCCCACAGAGTGATGTCGCCGCTTTCAATGCTAGATGTAGCCATGATACCCTCCTTGCGGCCGTCATCACCGGCGCCCATACCGTCAGTGCGAAACGTAATTGAGCTTATTGGCTTCTTGTTGTTTCCCTGGCGCAGTTCGAGAACTTGTTCATCGGCTTCGATATCCGTGATATTGAGGGAGCCGTCAGCATATGCGACTGCTAACAGGCAGACCGCAGGAGCTGGGGCAAGTGCCGTGACGGCGCCAGAGCGTGCGGAGGGGGCTAGGATGGTATGGACTAGTCTCCCAGTACTGACATTGTAGACCTCTACCGAGCCATGCTTTGTGCCTGCAAATACCTTGTTCAACAGGGTAGGCAAAGTACAGATTTGACCTGTAAATGGCCTTTGTGACCGGCTACTGGTTGACGACGAGGAGTGGATGGAAGTATAGTGTTCGTATAAATCGGCCTTCCAGACTTCGATGCTTTCTGTCCCGCAACCAACGACCCATGATCCAAAAACGAGGAGTTGGTGGATCTCTTGGACATAGGTTCCATCAATGTCTAGTTCTCCGATCAGCTGCCCTCTCTTGAAAACCCAGACTCCTCGAGGCTCGTTAACCTGTAATCCGCCCCAAGCCACAAATACTCGATCTCGGTAGGCATACGTGGCAGTAATCGTGCCAGGACACTGTGGGCGTGTGAGGAAGACGAGATTGAGACCTCGTCGCAGGTCATATGTTTGCAGCGTATCGCCGATGGAGGTGGTGATTTGGAACGTTGTTTTGCCCAGCGGAACAGAAGTGAATGGGATAGTGGTGGGAGATACAAGCCCCAGAGTCTGTCAAAATCGTAAGTAAATGGGAGCAAGCTGTAAGGTGTAACATACTCTGAAGGGTGAAAACAGCCTGGAACTGGTGGGAGGCATTTCCTTGGTGGTGGTGGTGGTAGCCAGCTCTCGCCGCTGCCTTTTGGCGAGAGGTAGTTCAATTGCTTCGTCCATGGCTATCCTTGACCTCGCTCACCTGCGGCTGCTTCTTGTTTGTCGCGCGTCCTTTAACATAGGACCCCAATAGCACTCCATGCCTTGGTCAGTGATGTTGATTGTCGATGGTCAATAATTTTTTTTTCCCCTTGGGATTCACCGCCCGGCAGAAACTGCGCCCGACGTGTGCCGTGTGTTGGCGGCTTGGGGGTTCGCCCACCCTCGCCCACTCCTCCAGGCGGTGCAAGGCCCCCGATGGGTCTCTTGGGCGTCCCTTGGGCCTTTTTAGTTAAGCCCCGCCCTTGGTATTCGGTGCCGCCACCACCCAACTAGCCCCCTGCTAAGTGGCTGCTGGGTGGCTGCTCGGCAACCCCCACTTACTCATCCTTTCGCACACACAATTTTGCCCTCTTTGAGGCTTCCGTCCAACCACCATCGTCAGCATCAACTGTGGCACTTTCTTGGAGCATGATGCCAAAGGTTACGAGATCTCATTTTTCACCAGGTCGAGATCGACTTCTTTCAGTTCAAAAACATGTCTTAATCTAGGATCCCTTCTCCATCGTGGCTCTCGTCCTCCGCCGCCATCTTATTTTTCCCATATTGTCATTCTTTGAACACCACTCTTAGAGAACGACTCGGTTTCTGATCAAAGACCGTAGCTCGACTCAAAAACCTTTCTTCCCCACAGCTTCAGCTTCAGCTCGGATAAGTCGGGGCATCTTTCCCATTCCATCTACAGTAAGAACTTCTCGGCTATTTTGATCTACTACTACATACATCATCGATCATCATTCATCATGGAGATTTATTCTCCTCTCCGCCGAACTCCTACCAGCACCTCTGAAAACGACACTGATGATAATGTCCCTCTCACTGCCGTCTACTCGGGCAGTTCCTCTACTACTTCTACCAGTCGTCCTCCTTCAAAGCTGACTGGCCGGACTCCTTCAACGCATTCCTTGTTGGCCGCTCACAGGAATCCCGATGTCCGCAAAGGTGCCCATGCTGAGACTACCAGGGCCTCTGCCGGCCGCTCTAGTATAAGTATGCCGCCTCCGAACACCAAGACTAGCGCTGATAGACGCCTATCGGCTTCGGTCTCTTCAATCCGCTCCCTGAGGAAGTCCGAGGAATGCGCCAGGAGCCCCCCTTCTTCCGTTAAGAGCATTGAAGGAGACAGGACACCCTACAGCAGCTCGCCTACGGCCCAGAACTCAACAACAGCCCACGATCCCACGGTGGTAACCACCACATCTACTTCCATTGCTCCAGGTCTGCCAGTGCTTTCGCCTCCTGCCTTCAATCCAAGCATTCCTAATCGTTCGGATCTAGTGTCAAATATATCATCTCAAGTCACATCTCCAACAACATGTGCTCCGAGAAGCGACATGTCTGTAACTTCTGCTCCTGCCGGCCAATCCTCGGGAATTACTGGGAAGCCTGATGGCGCGGAGACCGCGTTTCCCGTCCGTCCGCCTCGAATCCCTCAGCCTCGTTCATCTTCCGGTCGCCGCTTGAGTACCGCCGGATCATCCAGGAATGAGAGCATTAACTCAGAGAATAAAACACCAGTAGGCAGAATCGGCGTTTGTGCTCTTGATGTCAAAGCAAGAAGTCGGCCCAGTCGACAGATCTTGACTCGTCTCCAGGGGGATGGTGAATTTGAGGTCATTGTTTTTGGCGATAAGGCTATCCTTGATGAAGGTGAGCTTCTCCCTCTTCTCCCTTCCTTCACAGGGGTGGCTGACTTTTGTAGACGTTGAGAACTGGCCCATATGGTGAGTCGGAACTCTTCAGTCCCCCATTTCCTATCCCTGAATATCATTCGTCTGACACATCAAAGCGACTATCTTATCTCATTTTTCTCAGATGGTTTCCCTCTTGACAAGGCAATTGCATATGTCAAGCTGCGGAAGCCTTTCGTCGTCAATGATTTGGCCATGCAAAAGGTTCTCTGGGACAGGCGCTTGTGTCTTAAGATCTTGGACCAAATGCAGATTCCCACCCCCAAGAGAATAGAAGTCAATCGTGATGGCGGCCCAAGGCTGGAGTCGCCGGAGCTTGCTCAGCATGTGAAAAATATGTCGGGTGTGGTTTTGGAGGGTCCAGAGGATGGCACCGGAGGTGGTACCCCGACTACAAAACACGTTGAGCTGGCCGACGAGGGAGACACTTTGGTTGTGGATGGAAAACCATTCAAGAAACCTTTTGTCGAGAAGCCTGTAAATGGAGAAGACCACAATGTCATCATCTATTTTCCCAATGGCCAAGGCGGCGGCGCTCGACGACTTTTCCGGAAAATCGGGAATAAATCTTCCGAGTATGATCCTGACCTGACTGTTCCGAGGTGCATTACAGAACCGAACAGCAGCTATATATACGAGCAATTCCTGAAGACCGAAAACGCCGAAGATGTCAAAGCCTACACTGTTGGTCCGCATTACTGTCATGCTGAGACGAGGAAGTCCCCAGTAGTGGATGGACTAGTTCGACGCAATACACACGGCAAGGAGCTTAGATATGTCACGAAACTTAGCGACGCGGAGAAAGAGATGGCTGCTAAAGTTTCGCGGGCTTTTGGGCAACGCATTTGCGGTTTCGACCTCTTAAGAACCGGTACGGCGAGCTATATCATCGACGTAAATGGCTGGAGTTTTGTCAAAGACAACGAGGATTATTACAATGACTGCGCAAAGATTCTGAGAAACATCTTTCTCGCTGAGAAGTGGAAACAGGAAAATGCTCCTATGGAGGAGGCGCAGCCCGAGAACGGGGGCGATGGTTCACAGAGTCTCAGAGGCACAAGCCATTCAGCCCGATCGGCACTTAAGACAATTCTCAAGTCCCCAAGCATGACCAAATTATCTCAGCACCTCCCGCATTCGTCGAGACACCACCACTCGAGCCTTGCTGGTTCCCCCAAAGCGTCTGCTCTAACAACACCTATGAGCTCGCCACCGAGTGTCGAGAAGAGCACTCACGTTCTAACCCCTACGACAGCGACTGAAAAGGACAGCAGCCTTCCCCCACCTCTTCTCGGCCCCCCAGATGCTGCCGATGTTGCGACGAGTCCTGCAGCGCCTGCAAAGGGAGAAGGTCCTGCAGCCCCTATGCCCAGTTCCAAGCATTCATGGAAGCTCAAAGGAGTTGTTTCGGTCATCAGACACGCAGACCGGACTCCAAAGCAGAAGCTAAAATTCACTGCCCACTCACAAGTGTTTGCCGACTTGCTTAAGGGACATCATGAAGAGGTGCTTCTGAAAGGCGAAGCTGCATTGGCAAGCGTGCAGGCGGCGATCAAGGTTGCGCTTAGAGACAAGCTCGAAGATCCGGACAAGTTACGGAACTTGCAGAACGCGCTGTCAAAGAAAATAAATCAACCAGGTACTAAGGTGCAAATCAAACCAATGTTTCGCAAGAGAAAGCCGGAAGAGATGCCCCCTACTTCGGATAGCCCTGAGGCGCTCTCGTCGATAGAAGCCGACCAGCATCTGCTTGAAGGGGTGAACAGCGGCGAGAGGAAGGGATCTGTGTCTAGCACAATGGAGATACGCCGAGTGCAAACAAGGAGCGACTCCATATCTGGTGCCACGTTTTCGCGCTTCTCGGCCGCTGAAAACGATCTCGTCTTGGACAAGTTGCAATTGGTCATGAAATGGGGAGGGGAACCTACGCATTCGGCTAGATACCAGGCGCAGGATCTCGGTGCCAATATGAGGGACGACTTCAAATTACTTAACAGGGAAGTGCTTGATGATGTCCGGATCTTCACGAGTTCTGAGAAACGTGTAAAGACAAGTGCACAGATTTGGGCTGCGGCATTTCTGGACCGACAAGATCTGCCTGAAGATTTCATTCAGGTAAGGAAGGACCTCCTGGACGATTCCAATGCGGCCAAGGATGTGATGGACAAGGTCAAGAAGAAGCTTAAGCATCTTCTTCGCGAAGGCACTGTCCCGGACTCGTTCGCTTGGCCAAAAGATGTTGCAGAGCCATATATGGTTATGCAAACTGTGGTCGACCTGCTCAAGTTTCATCGGCGGGTTATGCGACACAACTTCAAAAAGCTTTCAACAGGCGCTGTGGCTTCACTTAGCGCACTCAATGGCTCCGGTGACGGCAAAGACGCCAATGGGCAGAACAAAGAAACGATCAGCGTCGCCTCTATTCAGTCGCGATGGTGCACCGGCGAAGATGCTGAACTTTTTAGAGAAAGGTGGGAGAAGTTATTCTCGGAATTTTGCGACACCGAAAAAGCAGATCCAAGTAAGATCTCTGAGTTGTACGACACAATGAAATACGACGCCCTGCATAACAAACAATTTCTCGAGTGGGTGTTCACGCCCAGCCAATCCCTTTTGGATGAAATGGCAAAAGAAGAGGGTCTGTCGTCGAATGCATCTTCTGAGACTGAAAGGCTAGATGAGGTTTCCTCGTCAGCCAACGGCACGCATCAAGAGAGCGCTGCCTCGTTTAGCAGCGGCGTGCCTGAGGGCAGACACAGTCTTGTCCAGAAGATTGGACTGAGAAGACAATCAGTCCTCAGACAGCCGCTACCAACAGCGCCTTTGATGTCCTGGGAGCAAGGTGCTTCCTATTTCAAGTTATTCAGCGGATCCGGCGATGGTCGACCCAAGCAAGATCAAAAGCTGGGCCGCTTGCGAGAGCTGTATCGATATAGCAAGATCCTGTTCGACTATATCGGCCCGCAAGAATACGGTATCAGTGATGAGGAGAAACTTGAGATCGGCCTCTTGACATCATTACCCTTGCTGCGCGAGATTGTCGACGATCTAGAAGAACTGCAGGCTTCCGGCGATGCAAAATCATTCATCTACTTCACCAAGGAATCACACATATACACTCTACTCAACTGCATCATGGAAGGCGGCATCCACACGAAGATCAAACGCTCCACAATCCCGGAACTCGACTACCTCTCCCAAATCTGCTTTGAGTTATACGAGGCCAAAGACGCCGAGACCGCAGAATCGACCTACTCGATCCGCATCTCCATTTCCCCCGGCTGCCACACGATCGATCCACTGGACGTCTCCCTGGATTCCAAGCACGCAATTGGAAGCGCGCCACGGCGGTCGTTGACGAACCATCAGGACTGGAAAGAGGTGATTTCCACCTTGAAAGCGAAGTTCAACACTGTGCAATTGCCGAAGACCTTCCTCGCAGTGAATGTCAGTGAGAAGCATGAAGAAGAGGCTCAGCGACGGGCGAGTTTGCTGCAGAGCGAAGTGGCGAAGGGGAAGCATGGGCGTAAAGAGGAAGGTGGCAGTGCCACGACGAAAGATGCAGATAACGGAGATGGTGAGAACACTGCAGATGAAGAGCTGTCGGGAGAATCTTGGCCTGGCGAGCAAGAAACGGTCCCAGCGCCGTTTCTGTCTTGAGAGGACAACAAGATCGATGCAGATGGATAGACCTCCTGGGAAGGAGGAAGACCATTGAAATGTTTGAGTGACTGAGCAACCCTAGTCAGATATTGCGACCCGACCCACAGAACAGATCAGCCCAATTCGACGGTAACGACCCCAGGAAAGACGTTGGACCGACGGTACAACCTGCATTACACCTTAATCAGACGAGAAGACGGGCCCGTGGACCAAAGAGAGATTTCACACTGTCCAAGGCAGAGGCACAGGCAGTCTTGCCTTTGTGGAAAATGGCGCTCGTTCATGCAGAGGCCGCGGATAAAGTCACTCGACTGCATGATTCTGGCCGATTAGGTACGGAATATACAAGTAGATGCTAGACCTGCATAGAAGAAACAAAGTGTATGAGACTCGATCGATCCGTGTTTGAGCGACGTCGACAGGAGTAAGGACTCGTCGAAGACGTCGTTACTAGGTATTCTTGAGAACAGACTCTACCACGTCGGAACCGATTGTACTTGGTACAGCGACTCGGAGATTCGGTCCGAACGTGACCCTCAGGCAAGAATCGCAGGGGATCTCCCCGGACGTGTCCACTTGGCTGTCTACTTCCTCACTCCCTCCAAGCTCTCCATACAGCTAGCCATGTGGCCATGTACCTAATACGTGGCTCACCGCTCCACCCTGTCTGTCTGTCAGGCGCCTCAGCTCCGCTCAAATTTAGTTCCTCCCGTCGAGTTCGTCCGCTCAGTCACTCATTCGCATGCATGCATTCATACATTCCGCAATGTCCCTCGCAACGCCAGATGCAAAGATGGGAGAGATGGGTTTTGGTCCGGTTCGGGGTGGCAGACAGGTTGGTAGGGTCGGTAGGTCGGTAGGTCCTCGGACTAGAACCCTAATCAAACGTCAGGAATGCCCTTGGCCCAGTGCACGAACAGCTCTCGCGCGGCCATGGCGTCCTCGAAGCTATCGTGACCGCGCTTTCCGACCTGCACGGGAATGCCCAGCTTCAGCTTGCACAGGTTCTGCAGGCTGCGGCCGCCGGGCGTTTTGGTGCTGCTCACACCCGAGTACGTGTATCTCTCGAGGATGCAGGTGTCGACGATGAGTGGGTGGATCCAGCGCAGGGCGGTGAAGTCGCTGGCGCCACCGTGTACGACGACGACCGTGTCGGGTCCTACGCCGCAATGGCGGAAGAGAGCTTCGCGGGCGCGGTCACAGCCCAGGATCGCAGTGCCCCGCGCGAGGGCCTGCCGCATGTCCCGTGCCGTCACGCCAGAGTACCGCGTGTTGTAGTGCGCCATGCGCACCGACGGTGAGACTAGGTTGTCGATCAGCACCGCGCCGCTGAAGAAGTCCACCACCGTCAGCCGGATGAGCTCCGGGTGCCCCGCGGCGGAGGTGCCCATTTCGCAGTCGAGGGCGATGGCGTGGAGATGACGAGGGATTTTGTGTTGCTGTTGTTGGTGGTTGTGGCTGTGGCTGTGGCTGTGGCTGCGTGTCGAGTAGTCGACGATGAAAGGTTGCCAGCTTTGTCGACCACCCCTCCTGTGGCCACGTCTTCGAGATCCGACCGGGGGAGTAGGACGAGAAGCGGTACTGGTAGTAGGGGCGACTTGGGCAGGGATGGGCGGCGTATAATGGTATTGCCAGTGCTCATGAAGCTGAGGATCATCTGGCGGAGGCATGCTGTGCTCTGTTTCTGATGGAACCTAGATGATATAAGCAAGGGCCGAAGACTTTCTTCCGGGATGTCATGGTGGATTTGCTCGAAGCCTCCTCATCTACCGCGTTTTCGGTGTCGACGCTCATCAGATCCTTTTGTCCCTTGTTGTCATTGCCGGCATCAGTCCTGACAGGCTTTGGTCGCGCTCGACGATTCTGTCGTTCTGTACATGTCAATCAGCCAGTTGACAAGCCCCCCAAAGGACGCGGGCGATCAGACGTACTTCCACACTTCGTACATCTAGCCTTGGATGTGATCTGAGCTGAGTCGAGAGGTTGGAGAACATAGCCCGCCTTTTTCAACTCCTTCTGACTGTGGCACACCAGCCGGAGCTTCTCCACATAAGCCGGCGAGAATGTGATGTTAGACCAAGTAACGTGGGGGACGTTGGGCTCAGTCGCCTTGATCAAGGGCCACGCAGGTGGTTTCGGCTGAGCCATGGGGACGGCGGCTATTGACATGACCTACTCCCGTGAGTGATGATGCTGTGCCAGGAAGGAAACGGCCGGAAGATACATACCTCAGCGTTTGAAGGTGGGTTGTGTTGTTGCAGTTGCAAGAGTCTCCCGTAACTCGTAACTCGTGGGATAAGGCTACAAGTGAGAGTGAATTGAGAGATTCAACCAGGCATCGGGTACAAGACGAGCTGCCGCCCTTCTCGTCGACAAGCGTGAAGTGGACTGTGACACAGGAGAGCTAATGAACAGCTTCAGCATTCCAAGACCACTCCCACTCGTTTCTGTCAACTCACTCATTGGGTACTTGGTATTTCCTCATGTTCCACCGCGGACGTTGTGTCTCGCGAAGCGACAGCAGAACGAGATGTGGCCCACCTGTTCATCTGTTCGGTGAAGTAGCTGCAGGTAATCCACGTCGATGCCCGAAGAAATGAACCAACAACGCGGGCAGAACTATACGCATTTTTATTCTAACATTGGTGACCCTGGGCTTGTCGTTGAAACTGAAAACGCATTCTGGGCTGCTTCCGATCCTGTGGGTTAAGTCAACGAACACACGCTATGGGAGAGTTGTTATAACGCGTTGGTCATGAGAATGTCAGACGGGTGTCTCGTTGCAAACTGTATTTTGAATGCTTTTCTCATATCGAGTGTCATACAGCCTTGGTAATGTACGACGCATCTTGTTCATGGTCGTCAATGTCAACTGCTGGCAGCGAACGACGGTCATTACCCTTCAACGTCATGGATGCCTCCAAATAGAATCAGGAAAGCGTTATAACCCGCATCGTTCTTCCCACAATCCATCGGTCGTGTCCAGCCCAAGACACTTAGCTGTCATGTTCATTTCAGACCATTCTTAGCCTTGAAAGCGGCAAGTAAACCAGCTGTTGAGGAGTCGTGCTCAGCTCCGGCGCCTTCTGTCTCGAGCTCCTTCTGGATCCTCTTGGCCAGCACCTTGCCCAATTCGACACCCCATTGGTCGAAGCTATTGATGTTCCAGATGGCGCCCTCGGTAAAGACCATGTGCTCGTAGTAAGCAATCAATGCGCCCAGCGTGCCAGGGGTGATCATCTCAGCAAGGATGTTGGTCGTCGGTCGGTTTCCGAGGAAGGTCTTGTGGGCAACCAATTCATCAGGAGCACCTTCGGCCTTGACTTGATCAGGGGTCTTGCCAATCATCAAGGCCTCGGCTTGAGCCAGGAAGTTGGATGCTAGCATTCTCTGGTGGAGACCTCCTTCCACCGGGTTGTGAGATCGGGCAGCAATGATGAAGTCGGTGGGAATGAGTTTGGTGCCCTGGTGCAAGAGCTGGAAGAACGAGTGCTGTGCGTTGGTGGCTGGCTCGCCGAAGAAGATGGATCCGGTCGTGTACTTAACATAGTCGCCACTTCGGGTAACAGCCTTGCCGTTCGATTCCATAGTCAGTTGTTGCAAATAGGCTGGGAAGCGATGCATGTATTGATCAAAAGGCGCCACCAGGTGAGTCTGAGAGCCAAAAAAGTCCGAGTACCAAACGCTCAGTAGACCTGCAATGACGGGGATATTTTCGTGGAGGGGCGCAGTCTTGAAATGTTGATCCATGGCATGACCGCCAGCCAGGAATTGGTGGAAGTTGTCATAGCCAATATAGATGCAGACCGACAAGCCAATAGCGGACCAAACAGAGTATCTGCCACCAACCCAGCTCTCAAAACCAAACATGTTCTTGGTGTCGATGCCGAACTTGCTGACCTCCTCCGCATTGGTGGAGAGGGCGACGAAATGCTTGGCAATGTCCGACGCCTTTGCATGTTGCAAGAACCATTTCTTGGCTGTATTGGCATTGGTGGTCGTCTCGGCAGTGGTGAAGGTCTTGGAGGCGATGAGGAAGAGAGTGGTCTCGGGGTCTGAATCCTTGAGGGCTTCGGCGATGTGGGTGCCATCGATGTTGGAAACGAAGTGCAGTTTCATGTTCCTGTCTCCGTACGGTTTCAGAGCCTCTGAGACCATGACGGGGCCGCTAGCTAGACGTCAATATCGCGGACCAAAGGTACAGAAGGGGACGCGAGACTTACAGATCAGAGCCGCCAATGCCGATATTGATGATGGTGGTGAGCTTCTTGCCCGTGTATCCAGTCCACGAGCCACTGCGGATTTGCTCAGAGAACTCCTTCATGTGGTCCAAGACGGAGTTGGTCTCTTCGACAACGCTCTTCCCGTCAACCGCCATTGGTTGGTTGCTGACATTTCGAAGGGCGACATGGTAGACAGCTCGCTTCTCGGTGAAATTGATCTTCTCGCCAGCGAACATCTGGTCTCGAAGTTCTTCGAGCTTGGCCTCTTTTGCAAGTTTCACGAGAAGGTCGAGAGTCTCTTCAGTCAAGAAGTTCTTGGAGAAGTCGAAGAGGATCTCAGAGTTGTCCGCAGTATTCTTGAAGACTCGCTTGAACTTCTCAAATCGTTGAGGATCTTTCTCAAAGTATTCTTTGAGGACGATGTTGCGGCCCACAGTGTTGTGGTGCTCCACCAGAGCCTGCCATGCGGAGAGATCGGTAGCCTGCGCGAAGCCAGGCATTTTGCAGTGTAGGAGGAGAGATGCTCGAGGCCGTTGCTGCGGAAGGATTTTCAGATGATCAGCCAGGAGAATGTGTGTGGAAGAGAGGTTTAAAGACTCCAGAGAGCAGCCGCAGTAGCTTTGTTCTGTTGCAAAGGTGAAACACAGAAAGCGGTGGATGCACGGAGGGGCAGGGAAAGCGGTTTGGTGTAGAGACTTACTCAAATATTACGAAGGAAATCGAAGGCAGAAACCAAATAAGCCAAAGGTATAGCAATGATGCCAACTGAGCCGGATGGTACAGTGGTGGGAGATGTTTGGGTAGCAGAAGAGACGTTGAATTGGATTTTTGTACAATGGGCGATGTTTTGATGGAGGGGCAGTTGGCAGTCTCCAGCAAAATGTTTTCGAGGACCAACTATGATGCAAGTGTGCACCAAGTGCACCAGCTGGCAGCAGCAGGGACAAGGATGAGGATGAGCTGAGCAACTGCTGCCCCGCTTTGCCTGGTGGCCCGCCCAACCCGCCGAGTGCTGCCCATCGCTTCCACCTAGTAGTCGGTAATGTTCAGCACCAATGGCCTCGTCAGCATCGGACAGATGATTAAGCGCCCACTGCGCAATGCCAAATCCAGAAAGCGCCCACTGGCATTTGGAACGGTCCGGGCTTTACAAAGACATCCTGGTTATGCTACCAGTAAACCAGATTCCATTATCTCTATGTGATTCTATACCTAGGAAAAACAAATGAACCTCCCCATCTCTCCTCATACCAAACACATGGACTTTCTCCTTGTCTAAACCAACAGAGCAGCCATAAACACCAATGAACCAAGAGCGAACAGAGATGTCGAAGATTGACCCTGCAGGTCTGTAGCAGCGCCCGTGTACCCACTAATGGGCGGGACAATGCTCTTCGTGGGCACCGTCGCGTTAGCGGAGAGGGAGGCAGCAGTAGTCGTGGACACGTTTGTGACCGACAAGGTCGAGGTGGTCGTGTTCAGAGCCACCGTAGTAGAGTTGCCGAATAGCGCCATCGAAGTGGTCATAGGAAGACCGGTTGTAGCAGAGCAAGCACCGGCGGAAGAGGATGTCATGCTCACGGTGACGGTGCTTGTGGTTGTCGAAGTGATGGTGGTGGTGTAGCTGGTAGTTGAGGTCAAGTCGCTCGTGGTAGACACAGAAGAACTTGAGGGAATCGCAACAGCTATGGCAGAAGAAATTGAAGCAGTGGTTGTGCTTGTGCTGTAATTGTTGTCGTTGTCGTCGTCGTCGTCGCAATCTGCATCAGGGTAGGGGCCGTGCTTGGGAACACATCCTGTGCCCGTAGAAGAGCAGTTGGCGCTTGCGGGACAAGAATCTGCAATCCATTAGCATATGGCATCACTCATGGGACGCAGCGCCGACTTACATTTGCTGGAACAACATACTTCGCCTGCCGACGGGTTATAGCAAGTATCAGGACCGCATTGAACGTAGTTGGCACCACAACTGGCACACCCACCAGCGTCAGAAGGCATGCAGGTGACATCACGAGGATGCATTGGATCATCTCCAGCGTGGCTGGCAGCGCCTCGAACTGCGATAGCCAAGCTGGCACCGATGATGAAAAAGATGTATGAGCGCATGATTCGTCTATTTGGTATGGAGGACTGCCAAGTCGCTGAGGGTCAAGGAAAAACAGGAGGGGGTCTTAGGCGAGAATGACTATCAAGGACAGGCGTAGCAACGAATGTCTCGGGCTCCAGCTCGAGGGGGGAGAGGAAACAGAAATGATCAGAAAAAACCGTGAACATCTTAAAGCACTTTCAAGATTGGGAAGTAGACATCTTTGTGACGAAAATGGAAACTGAATAAAGAACCCATTGCAAGCCGGACTCTAGAAGCTGTTTCTAGATTGCATGGCTGTACAAACAAAGAACCGACTAGGGGAACCAACCATGAGCCCCATCAATTTCCGAAGGGCAGACCAGTTTGCAAGGGAAAAATCCCTGAGCATCACGAACGCGCAGCCATGCGGGAGATCTCCTGATGTTGTGAGATGTCCGGGTCAAGAGTAACATGGGCTTGCATATTCAGTGTTCTGGAAGTTTAGCCCGGTGCGGGTGTGGACGGGGCACCTTTCAAAATCAGGTACGAAGAAAGACCAATTGCCAAAAAGCGCACTCTTTGTCGTGAGACCATTGTGCGTTGAGAGGGAAGGGCTGGTTATCGGTGCGTGTTTGTTTGCAGACGAGTTGAGAAATGGGTGACGGAAATTAAAGTCGAGGTCGAGGGTCGAGGTTAAGGTCGAGGGTTGATGGGAGGAGCCAGGAGGAACTTTGCCTCATGCAAACAGAGCAAATATGCCAAGTGCCAAAGCAAGCTAGCTCACCGCAAGCGGTGAACGCGAAAAGGTGCAATGACGTCAGAGCACCTCGATTCTATCGACTGCGAAATGCCGCTGCAAATCTTCACTCGACATGCCGGTGCCAATCTGTCCGAGTATCTGCTAATCCCGTACAGTGTCTGTAATTGGAGGCCATGGCAGCGATAAGGAGCGACCTCGGCCAGCTTTTATCATCGCCAGCCAACCTTCTGCTGCACCTTCTGCTGCACCTTCTGCTGCGGAGTGCTACAGTCGATGACGACTTTCTGCTCCTGCCCAAGGTTTCGCCCTTGGAAAGATACGAGCTGTATAAAGCTCCAAGGACTTCGATAAGATGGTAATGAGCAATCCATAGCTGCAGGATTACGCCGAAGCCATCGTTCTCCCCCCAGTCGAGTTGAAGAATAAGTGACACAGTCCCTACGCAACATACATGCCCTACCTAATGTAGCTAAAGAGGGCTCAATAACGACGAAGTGGTCGCTATATCAAATACAGCTGACGGCGTAGGTGAAGGGTATAGCACCTCTCTTCCTACTAAGGTAAATACAGTGCTCAGTACCAGCGAAAGCCACCTGTCTTCTAACAGTCGAGCAGTGAAGGACTCCCAGTGTGCCACTTCATTTTTCAATTCGGCTTGGCGCGTCGGCAACGAGAATGCTGGTACAACCACCTCGGTCACGACTTCTCCTCCTTGCTGGGCCAACCTGAGGTAGGACAAGCTTGAAATCCAGAGCTCATGGCATCTTCACTTCGCCTCCGAGCGGCAAAAATACCGAGAAGTCGCCTACTAGTCTTCGCTCTGTTCTTCGTCATCTTCGCCGTGACCACCGCATTTGGCCAACTGCGACGACACAAGGCTCATGGAAAGCCCATTTTCCCTACCCAAAAGCCAGTCAGTGGCTTTTCCGATGGTCTTAGCGTGAAAGGATATGACAAGCCGGAGGGACTCAAAATCATTGGCCTCGTTTTCTTTGGTCGGAAAAATCGTGTCGAGATATTGCGATGCTTCCTCGAGCGCAATTTGGTTGACAACGGTGGCTGGCTCGACGAGATCCACTGGGTGAAGAACACGGACAATCGCAAGGACCTGGCATATCTGGAGGAGATTCTGGCCTCGTCTTCGCGGTACAAGATGGTTGAGGTCGAGGGTGTCGGCTTTGTCGGCTATGGACTGGCTTGGACTCAACTAGAGCCAGGAAATCTGTATGTCAAGATCGACGATGACGTGGTATGGTTCGCAGACGACACGATCCCACGCATTGTAAGCATGAAGCTTGCGCATCCGGACTATCTGGTTGTGAGCGCCAACGTCGTCAATTCTCCGCTCATGGGCTGGGTGCACTATCATATGGGTGCGGTACGTCCTTATATGCCCGAACTGACCGACTATGAACCGACCATCTTCAATCTGGGTCAACCGTCGCGCAAGCCTTGGACGTACTGGTCATATCCCACCTGGACAGGTCCAGATGACTATTTCTTCGGCCCATTCCAAGCACCCCCATACGACGGACATCGCTGGCTCTGACTCCCCAACGACTCGGACATCTCCCGCACACCCGTCGCCGACATTGAGTACAAAACTTGGGGCACAGGTCTAAAGTCCTGGGCAATCGCCGCTCAAGAACACTACTCGTTTCTTGAAAACCTCGCCGACGACCGTCTCGACACCTACCGGATGAGCAGCAGCGCCGACCGCGGAGGCACTGATAAAGCCTGGCTCACAATTGATCAACGACTCAGTATCAATATGATCACTGTCTGGGCAGACGACGTTTTGGACAATCTACCGATGGACGATGTCGACGAACAGTGGTTGACCCTCATCTTACCCAAAAAACTCAAGCGCCAAGTCGCTGTGAACACGGACGCACTGGCAGTGCATTTCACATTTGGATCACAGGGAACAGTTGAGACGACGGACCTGCTAGCCAGGTATCGTGATTATGCATTCGAAAACGCATGCGCAATGTGGGTCTGACATTAGCGGAGATTCATTTGTGTTGCAGAACAGACAATATGCCCCATGATCATTGCAGGTTGCGATGCTTGCATTGGTGATTTGGTACTCAACCGCTGCCGCGTCGTGCCGTCTTACGGAAAATTTCTTTGTGGCCAGTCCCACACGACTAGAAGCTGAACAGTTATGGTGATAGCGGAGACAGAGGTCGAAGCGCCCCTTCCTCCAGAACAGAGCTATGCATCACTGGAACCTTTGGAGGGGGCCAAAGAATCAATGCTGGCAGTTTGAGCTACGACTATATCAGGCTAGTGAGGCCCAGGCGCACATGCTACGCTTACTGCGACTGATATGGAAAATCGATATTTTCGTCGTCCGCGGATCCGGCCTCTAGTACTCAGCAAGAGGCCCTCCTTTTCCCATGGTCGGCTGAACAAGAGTATCCCCCTTGCTGATGGTGCCGGTGAAGTACACGCCAAGCAACGGAGGGAAGCCGTGGACTGTCTGGTCTTCCCCATAACCATCCATGTCGACCTGTTTCTCCAAATTATGTCAATGAGGGAAGGAAGAAGGATGAAAGAAAATAAAGAGAAGGAGGGACTAGATCGAGAGAGCATGTCGCTTCTTCCTTTTGTCCAATGCCCACAGCCACCGTCGTTCCACCTCGAATCATCTCTACGGAGTACATAGGTCAGCCTCTGTGAGTGCTAAGCGCGTACATAGTCAGCATCCATGGCGTAGTTTCTCGAGTGTCACAGGTCACTAGCCCGCAAAGTACGCATAAGTGTCCCTTGCGTGCATACTCCCCGCCGGGCTATGCAGCTGTTTAGATATGGACATGTGGAAACAGTGAGTAGTACTACGATCATAACAACGGGTGAGAGGACGGAAACTCGTTCTTATGGCCATTAGGACCTGATACATCTTTCTCCTTCTCCCTCCTCGTCGTCTTCCTTTCTTCTTTGTTCTTCTTCTTCTCACCGAGTTCTCCTCAGGCGCTGCTAGCCCTACTTGGCCAACTTGTTCAAGCGGCATGATCCCAGTCTTGCTTGATCATGTCCGCCGCCTTCTCGGCGATCATATAGACGCTACTCAAGATGTTGCCACTAACATTGTTCGCAAAGATGCTCGCGTCCGCGACGCGCAGGTTTTGCACGCCTTTCACCCGCAGGTGCGAGTCCACCGTGTCGCCCATCGCGCACGACCCGCAGCTGTGGTACTCGCCCAGGACGTGCTCCCTGACGGCCGCGCGACGGGACTGCACCGAGTCGAGGGAGGGGAACGTTTTTGGCTCCGGCACGATGCGTTGGCTGATTTTGTCCTTGAGCTGGGGCGCTGCGGCCGTCTTCTCGATGAACTTCAGGCCCGCGGCGAGGATGGCGACGTCGGCTTCCTCACCCAACAAGTTGGGGTGGATTTCGGGCGCCACGGCGGGATCGGCGGATTTGATGTGAATGTGGCCGCGGGAGAACGGGTACTGCAGGCAAACAGCGAGTGTGATGCCGTCTCGAGCGCCCTCAGCTGGTGGAGCGAACAATTTAGCCTGATCACTGACACCTTCTACCATATCGCCCGTCGCGGCGATAAAGACGAGCTGCAGATTTGCCGACTTGTTGCTCTTGACGTGTGAGATGACTTGGTCCCACTGTTTCCTCTGAAACGGCGTCTTCGCCTTGGCGCTTTCAATGGACTTGACAATCTCATTTAGCTCGCCTTCCTCTAGGAACATGGAGCAAGGGAAGAAGCCTTGAACGGATTGGATTCCAGTCAACGGTCCGCCTTGTTCTTCCACGAGAGCCTTTTGCGCGGCTGCCATGACTTCGGGCTTGTAGATCGAGTCCGCAGACATTTGGCCATCGGCCAGTGTGTAGATAATAGCGGTAGCGGCGTGATCTTGGTAATTTTCTCCGACAGAGGGGAGGTTGACGAGACATTCGACGCCGGCTGCTTTAAGAATGTCTGGGTTGCCAATGCCAGACATCTCGAGGATCTGGGGAGAGTTGATGGTTCCACCACAAACAATCACTTCTCGTTTGGCTTTGACGGTATGCTTCTGGCCGTTATGGATGAACTCGACACCAGTCGCACTCTTATTTTCGAGGATGACTCGAGCGACCAGCGCCTCGGTTATGACTTTGAGATTCGGGCGATGTTCGTTGGCCTGGAAGTATGCTCGAGCAGCGTAGCTACGCATGCCCTTGTTAGGACCTGTGCGGGTCACCGTGCCTAGAGTATTGTAGAAGCCAATGTGATCTCCGCTCCATGGATCGGTTGGCTTTTTGTCAAATCCGGTGGCATAGTCAGCGGCCTTGATCACATCGTCTTCAATGGGAAGTCGCGAGTCATTGAAGCTGGTCCGTATAGGACCGCTTGTGCCGTGATTCTCTCCGACAAATGGCATGGTGGAGCGGTCAGTGACTCTCTCGTCAATAGGCTCCAGCGTTTGGTGCTTTCGCATGTATTGCTTCATGTTGGCGGATGACCACGAAGGGTCGTCTGCCAATTTGGCCCAGTCATCGTAGTCTTGGTCCGATCCGCGAACATACCTTTGGCGATGTTAGACCAAAATGCTCGTTACCCGTAGGAAGTGCAAAAACTCACATCAAGTAATTGATCGCGCTCGATCCACCCAGCGCTTTGCCCCGGGCAACATGGTGGACTTTATTCTTGTTTCCTGGCTGTACAAGAGTTAGATCACTGAGAACGGCGCGGGACAGTGACGGTTAGGACCTGAGGAATGGTTTTCCATGCCCAATCGTACTCCGTGTTGCCCAACATCTGTGTAAACATTGCGGGGACATCGACAAGCTGGTCACCAAGTCGATTCTTGCCGGCTTCAATTACACCGACGGTGACATCTGGATTCTCCGTTAGGCGAGCAGCAACGGCCAGTCCTGCTGTACCACCACCACAGATGAGATAGTCGTAATCGTGCCCGACAAACTCATCGACGGCGACGAGGGCCGATTTCTGCGTGCCATTGGTTCCGTTGGTGGCCGCCATCTTTGTAAAGTCGAACGCAGTGTCGTCTCGAATCTGTACTTAAGTTGGCCGATGTGCTGGGCGAAGCTTGTAGTTGAGACCGGGAACGGAGTTCGATCGAGCGAAGGGCAAGAGTGATTCTTATATACTCGCGTCTTGCCCCTTAACCTATGAGCAAGGCGGCGACCCCAATATCCGGCAATGGTGACGTTTCAAGGACAGGGTTGGCAATATGTGGTACCAAAGGATGCACCACCCTGGGTCCAAACGAGTTTGTGCAAGGGTGGCCTCGTTCTCGACGTGTAAGACGCCAAAGGAGGGGGCTACTCGATTCAAGCCTCCTAACAAGGACTAGGGCGGATGTGGTGGACCCTTTGTAAAGTAAGTGAACGGGTAATATCAGGAGAGGAGGTCTTGTGCCGTTGCCCTTGGTCTAGATTCCCTCATTACCTATCAGTTCTTGCTCGGTTCCGATTTCCCTCTCGTATCAGTTCAGGTGCTTTGCAGTCCACGGTGCGGTACAAGAAGGGATGGATCCAGCTATGGATTGTGAGAACCGCTACCACCACCAGCGGCGTCGCAGCGAAGCAACCGGCGACACGCTCTCTCCGCACAAAGAGCTCCGCAAGCATCGAGCACCGGGCCAAAGTCTGTCTCAGAATAGACCACGGCGGGGAAGTCGTATGCACCCCACTTAATGTCATGAAATATCTCATTACTTACAAGTAGATGATCTGATTGGTGGGATGTAAAGCCAAAGCTCGTATGGCCCGGCCAGATGTATTCGTATTCATCAAGGAAGCTTGGAGCCAGGAATCCTCAGTTCCCGGCGGAGGTAGCAACAAGGGGGCTACTTTGTAGTCTGTCAGCCTTATTCCTTCCGAGTGGATTTGATCCTCGCCGAGGACCGTACATCCGAAGCGCAAGGGCCCTTGTTAATACTACTCTGTCAGGAAATCGTCGCTTCCTGCGAGCGTCGCGCCAAGTCCAGATTCCTAGGCCAGCAGTAACTCTGTTTAGATAGATGTCGTTGCCTTTCAGAGGGTGTCCAAAGAGGTTAGTAACTCAATTTCTGGACGATTGAGAAAGTCCTCCTGTGGTCTGAGGGGGCTTCTCGGGGGGCGAATATCTCCCGCCTTCCCGCCCATGGAAAGTATCATGGTCCTGGTTGATCACTTACCTCAGAACCCTCTTGACTACGCAAAGTAACATGGTCTAAAGTGAGAGATTATCTGAGCGAGAGCCGTGTAAGATCGGACCAGGCGCATGTTGAGAAGCCCGTCGGATCCGCTGCACGCTTCTTTGATGCAATTGCCCGATTTGGGCAAGCTAGAAAGCGAGGTCTGACATCTCCATGAACAACATGATACCTTACTTGAACAAGTAGAGAATGAAATTGGTAGGACGATTTGGGATCGCGCTGTGTAGCCAGTCATCGATGTGAGAGAATAGAGGATAAGAAAGGGCTTCCGCAGAATTGAAGGCATTTGGAATGGCATTGGACGAGAAGCCAAGAACGTTAGATGCACTAGATCAACTAGTCAAGGTTAATAACCAAAGGGGGCTCTCAGGAAGTAGAAGGTGAGCCGAGGGCAAGTAAAGCGGCAAGTGAGTGAGGCGAGAGGCTATGTACCTCGTACAGTACCGCCTTCAAACCGAGATACCAAGATACCTAGGCATTTCTTTGCGCAACTCACACTCCTGAAGACCTCCTTAGCACGCAATCAGGCAGTGGGTATACCGAGTATCACCTTCAAAGTCATCGAGACCGCTAACTCTATCCGCTGCGACCGCGCTTACATATCTGCAGCAGCATATTCCTATGCCCCTTCATTCAAGCTATCCTCCAAAGTTCCATTTTATTGAAGGGTGTCAGGCACCCAGCTTTATTTTATCGAGCTTACTGATGACTTGGAGGGCTCTGCGAGCCTTACGCATGCTACTCGCGTAGTCACTATCCACCTGAAATCCACTCGCAATTGGTTGGTCGACATCTTCGGGAAAGAATGAACTGATCTCCAGAGGTCGGCCGAAAACCCCAACATCGTCGACCGGATTACATGATTTACCTTGATATCGAGTTCGCAGCCACACAAGATGTCGTTGTCGTTCCAGCAATCCTTGCCGACGCATCTGCTTCCCGACCGTGAGATTCACGTTGTCGTCTCGATTCTGTCTGGGCGCCACAAAGCCAAAGAGTATTATGAAGAATCCATCAAGCCTTTACTCGACCGTCACGGTATTATATACTCCACACACGAAACCAAATCTACAAAGACTATCATCGAGCTGACCGAGAAACTTTTCATCGTGAACGCGCGACAAGGTGTCAAGCAAACCATCATTCTGTTATCTGGAGATGGCGGCGTCGTCGATATTGTCAACACTTTTACGACTCTCTTAAATCGGAGGAACGATGACGTTCGAGCTCCTTCAATATTCCTCAAGCCTGCCATTGTCCTGATACCAATGGGAACGGCGAATGCTTTGGCATGGAGCTCTGGTGTCGCGCAAGACCCTCTCAAGACCCTGATGGAAGGAAGACCAAAGTCGTTGCCTTCCTTCAAGGCTTGCTTTAGTCGCGGCGCAGAGCTCCTTGTCAACGAAGGCCGGGACCGGGAAGCTATAGGCGATGAGGACGAGAATGAGCCTGTCATGTACGGCGCAGTGGTCTGTAGTTGGGGCCTCCACGCGAGCCTGGTAGCAATGAGCGATACGACGGAATATCGCAAGCACGGTCTCGCGAGATTCTCAATGGCTGCACAACAGCTATTGAAAGAAGCTCACCAGTACAGAGGCAAAATCAAATGGCGGAAAGCGGACGGCGAGTGGAGAGACCTCCATGGACTACAGCACTCTTACGTGCTAGCTACCATGGTATCCAACCTGGAGGAGCATTTCCAAATCTCACCAGCCACAAAGCCCCTCGACGGGACTCTGCGACTCGTCGCCATTGGCGCTGAACCAGCCTCGGAAATTATGCGAATTCTGCAACTAGCCTATCAATCTGGGAAGCACGTCACAGACCCAAAGGTGACATATGAAGAGATTGAAGGTTTGAGGATAGAATTTGATGAGGAAGAAGAACGGTGGAGGATGGTTTGCGTCGACGGGAAGATTGTCGCAGCAAAACAAGGCGGCTGGGTCGAAGTCACCAGGATCCCCGCAACAGGCATGGATGCGAGACGAGTCGTCGAACTAGTGTGCTGAGGAGGTTGAGAGGGGTTCCTAGGGCAAACACAGTGTCTGTATGCAGAGTGTGCTTGTTTGCGCGGCATTCGGTAAGGGTGACAGGCCAGCCATACTAAGCGGCCGGGTGATCATACACAACATGTGGGCTTATGCAACATCCTGGGCGGAATGAATGTTGAATCTCATTCCGTACCCCCAACATCTTCCAAATCGATAGAGTAGAACCGTAAATGACCACTCCCTGGTTGACAAAGGAGATACAGATTGGTACCGAGTACATACCTCGTGGAAGGTGGGGAGACTGAATATGTAACACGTGATAACATGTGAACATGTGGTCGAAGCGCGCTTTCCCTTTTTGGGACGGAGCAGCCGAGTATCCGCTTGCTGCGCTGACGTTCCAATTGATCTTTGGTCTGGCTTCGCATCGGCAGCAGTAAAGCAGGCTTCCCTCATCAGCCAGCACTCAAATAGCCAGCCTGTCCACAGACCGGCATCGATCGCCACAGTCTTGAGAACAATTCCTCCTTGGCCGATCCATCTTCTGGACGGCACGCTCGGAATACAGCACAGCTGTAGGAAACGGCAACAATGCCCGCGTAACGTCTCCAGCTGAACCTTCTAGCGAGACCACAGTCAGCCTTTATCAACGTTGCTACGCTACTACCTCTTTGTCAAAAAAAAAAAACAAAAAACAAAAAGGGGGGTCCGTTGGGAATCTGAGGGTGTATCCCTCGCTCAATCAACTCAAGAAACCCAAAAGTTGAACAATAACCCACCGTCACAAACATGGGTGGTTGGGGTATGTCGCATCTTAGTCCGCCTTGGGCATCCTCACTAATCGAAAACTTCTCATGCAGGTCTCTTCTTCTTCATCCTCTTTCTCCTTCTAATCTTCGCGGTTGTCGGATGGGTCGTTTACACACAGTATCGCTCCCGAAAGCAAGGGCTCCCAGCACCTTCCCTCAAATCATGGAAAACTTATATCCCGTTCCTTAAACCTCAAGCCTCCTCGAATTACCCTGCTCCTCGACATGCAGGACCATTGGAATGGGTTAGAGATCAGTTCGCCAAGCTGACCAGAAGACGTACCGCCAGAGGAGCCTACGAAGAAGCCGGAAGTGGTACTGATGGGCTAGTGCCTGGTGCTACTAGAGGGGCCAGGGGAGGCAGAGGGGCGGAAGACGATGCGTGGGATACTCGTGTAGGGAACGAAGACCCCTACGGGCCAGGAGTGAGTTATTCGGGTTACGAAGAGCAAGAACTTGGCTTGGCCCCGACACCGGGATTGCAGAATGAACCCTACAGCGGCAGCGCTCGCGGAGGTACGGGGGGGGACTATTTAGGTGCCAGGGGAAGCGCAGGCTATTCCGACGTCGATGTGACCGGGCGTGGCCGGCCAGGCAGTTCTTCCAGAGATAATCCCTTTGGCGATCAGCATGAGGCGACGCCGAGGCTGAGGAGCGTGAGCCCCAGACCGGAGCCGGAGGGAAGCACTACAAAGGGACATACGAAGGGGAACCAGAGTCTCGACACCCAGGGTAGCGGAGACGGGAATTCCAGTCCGATCAGTACCAGGAAAAGCGTCTTTCGAGAAGGGATCTAGCGGCGGCGACGGCGATGACGACGACGACGACGACGACGACGAAAGATTGCAAGGGATTATGAGGTGTGGATGATAGATGTGATAAAAAGGAACCAAAGGCTAGGTCACGTCAAGTCAGTTTGGCGCGGTCTTGAATCTGTACCTGCTTGGAGAGAAGATGACGACGATACGATACGAACATGGGTCAAATCCCCCTCGTTGGCGAGCGACGAGAGTCAAAGTT